CTGTGCTGGCAGGAGGAAATCAAGGGTGGCCAACCTGTTTTGGGGCTGGGATGCCCACCAGGCCAGGCAATGCCATTGGCAGTTGTTGTCCTGCAATTTGGGCTTTGGTGGGGGAGCGTGGGAGGTGTTACAGCAAAACAATCCGTGTGTGTTTGGGATACTGTCCTTGGTTGTCTCGGGCTGCTTGGGAAAGGATGCAGCCTTAGATAGCAGAGCCAGCTTGTCCAGGCATCGAAGAGATGAGGTTGCTTTGTACCCACAGCTCCTGGGTGCTGAGATCTGGCTGTCGGGGGGCACAGCCACCCTGAGTTGGTAGTGCCGCCGGGGCGGTCCTCGCCAAGGGGCTGCCAGCCCAGAGGACGCCAGAGCTCTGCATCTGGTTGCAATAAGGGTGGGGATGTCATCTTGGTGGGGATCTTTCCATGCTGAGCTGCAAACTCAGTGACCGAGGGTGAAGTCAGCCTCCCGCCCTGGACTGCCCCATGCCTGTGCCGCCCGTAGTTGGTTCCCAGGGGTGCAACCATCCCGTGGCTCATCCCCTGGCTCCGCTGGGCTCTTTCAGCCAGGGAAGGGATGCTCACTGGTGGGGAAGCCTCGGTGGAGGCTCAGCCCCGGCCTCGTTGCAGCTCTGTTACCCAAAGTACGTCGTTAGCGTGGCAGTGGCTATATATAGCCAGGAAGGACGTGCGTGCTGGGAACATCTCTGCCGTGGGTGGGACGAGAGGGACACCGGAGGCTTGGCCGGCAGCCCCCCTGCCAGGGTGCCAAGGGGCCAGATGGGACAATGGGTATCGGGGAATGAGGTTGCCCAGGCTTGGCTGCCCAAACTCCCCCCCTCTGGGAAGCCTTGACACGGCTGAGCTGCAAAGTGCTCAGCTCAAAGAGTGTGCCACCCTCGTGGGAGCCTCCCAGCGCCCTGCCCCATCAGGTAGGACCTGTCCCCGCTCCCCTGGGTGCCACCGCAGCGGGGTGAAGCCCTGGGGAGGGCCGGGCTGGGAGCAGGGCCGTGCTGAGTCAGTACTGGTATGCCAGCGATCCAGTTACTGCTGCTGTGACGTGCCAGGGCTGAGCTGGCCCTCAGCCTCATCTCGTGGCCACAGGGAGTGTGGTCGCCCCTTTCCAGGCTCGGTTTGTGCCGGGCATCCCTTATCCCGGTGCAGGAGTAAGCTGTGTTGCAAAGGGGGTTCAGCACTTACACACTGGAAGCGACTGGGCTTTGGTGGGTGCTGGATCACAGTGCTGCCATCTCCT